TCATACATACCCTCCCTCCCCAGAGAATTACAGGCCAATATCCCTCATGAACATAGATGCCAAAATTCTCAACAAAATTCTAGCAAATCGACTCCAGAAGAACATCACAAAGATCTCATGAATTGATTTAAAAGCACAAAATACAACACAAAAAGGCTTAACACACAAGACACTGAACACAAATGTAATTAGGATACTAAGAACCCCAAATAAAGTTGACCACCAGAAAAAAGATAATTAGGAGATAAAAAAGAAAGAATAAGAGAAAAAAAGGGGGAAAAAAAAGAGTGAAAAAAGTGAAATTGGGAAAAGGATAAAAAAGTAAGAGAGAAAAGAAAGAGAATAAAAAGTGAGAAAGAACTATTTATATGGGGAGAAAACTCCAATAGAACAGCCATTAATCCCAATAAATGCCAGAAACAAATACCTAGAAATTAATGCAAACTATAAACAACAACTAATATCAAGCAAGGTGAGGGAAAACAGAAGCAAGAAACATACAAAAAGAAAACAAAACAAAAACAAAAATAAAAAGTGAAACAACCTCACAAAGAAGCATAAAAAACCAATATAATCAATAATCAAGCAAACAACAACAGAAGGACACAGAGAAAAAAATTTGGATAGTGAAGAAGAAAGAGAAGAGAGAGGTGTATATGAACTTAGCACAGGAGGGTTTGAAATTAGGTATATAAGTAGGGTGAAATTTTAACAGGGAGTAAAAAGGAGGAATAGGGAAAATCTAAAGCAGGACAACAAAATGGGAAAAGTGAGGAAGAGAGTGTTGGCATAAAGGTAAAGTTGACATAGAGTAAAATGATACTAAAAGAAATATGAAAATATAATGTAGAACACTAATCCCAAAATAAAATAAAGAGAAAATAAAAATACCCCCCCCCCCCACTTAAAAAAAAAAAAAAAAGGTAAGATATAGGACTTAAACATCAGACGGGAAACCATAAAAATACTAGAAGCATCCACAGGCAGCAAAATCTCAGACATATGCCAAAAGAACTTCTTCACTGATACTGCCCCTAGGGCAATGGAAGCTAAAGAGAAAATAAACAAATGGGACTACATCAAAATAAAAAGTTTTTTTTATAGCAAAAGAAACCATCAACAAAACAATAAAAAAGCCCATGGTGTGGGAGAACATATTTGCAAATTACACCACTGATAAAGGTTTAATCTCCAATATCTACAGCTGATACAACTAAATAAAAGGAAGATGAATGACCCAATTAAAAAATGGGCAATGGACCTAAATAGAATATTTCCAAAAGAAGACAGAAGGAAGGCCAAAAAGCTCATGAAAACATGCTCAAAGTCACTAATTATCGGAGAGATGCAAATCAAAACAACAATGCGGTACCATCACACACCTGTCAGAATGGCCAACATCAACAAATCAACAAACGACAAGTGTTGCCGAGATTGTGGAGAAAAAGGAACCCTCGTGCACTGCTGGTGGGAATGCAGACTGGTGCAACCACTGTGGAGAACAGTGTGGAGTTTCCTCAAAAAACTGAAAATGGAATTCCCATTTGACCCAGTAATCCCACTTCTAGGAATATATCCCAAGAAACTAGAAACACCAATCAGAAAGGATATATGCACCCCTATGTTCATAGCAGCACAATCTACAATAGCCAGAATCTGGAAACAGCCTAGGTGCCCGTCAGCTGATGATTGGATCCAAAAACTATGGTAATCTACACAATGGAATACTATGCCGCCATAAAAAAGAAGGCATTCTCTTCATTTGCAGCAACCTGGATGGAATTGGAGAACATCATACTGAGTGAAATAAGCCAATCAATGAAAGAGAAACACCACATGACCTCACTCATTTTTGGACAATAAAAAACATTATAAACTGATGTTTATAATGTAAACATCAAGCAGTAAAGCAACAAGCAGATTGTCAAATTACAGCGGGGAGGGGAGGAGGATCTGGGAGTGATAATAGATCAACGGAAGGACTTGTATACATGCATATAAGTACAACCAATGGACATAAAACTCTGGGGAGGGAGGGGATATGTGGGAGGGAGGGAGGGGGGCAAAAAAATCAATAAAGTATGTAAATATAAATAAAATAAAATAAAATAAAAAAATTCCTAATTAAAAAAAAAGGTAAAATAAAATGGCACTTTTTAAAAAAAATTTAAAAAAAGAATTACTACTACTGATTGAAGACATAATAATTAAAACATAATAATTAAAAAGGTAAAATCACTTGAGGAAAAAGAAAAAAATTGTTTCTTAAGTAAATGATGAAATAAAAATAAAAATGTTCAGTAGTGAAGGTCATTCACTTCCTCTATTGTTCTTTTTGGCTCACCTGCTTCCTAGTCAGGACAGTATTGAAGTTCTCTGAGTTCCACTGCTCCTCAGTGTTGTAAGCCACAATCCATCCTGATTTTGAAGCAGTCAATAGTTTGCTTCTTATACACCTTTGTGTTTACACAAGAGTCAATTTGTGCTTCAACCTCTGGGTGGCAATGTTTCCGGATTGACCTCTGGGTCTATAGCTCCTCTTTAGCTAGTGTTTAGATTTTGTTTTCCCTGTGTTGCTTAATACTGGTTTGGGTAATGGGCTGCCCTAGAGTTGGTTTTCTGATCTTTATCCCCCACTCTGATCCCCAGGTTCCACAAAAACAATTTTGCCTGCAGTCTTTTAGAGTTTCCCCAATAGGGTGATCCTATATATTGGGCTCAGTAATCAAAAACAAAGATTTAAAGAGAAAAAAAGAAGAAAAGGAAAAAGCCAGAGTCGCGTGGTGGCACAAGTCTTTGCAGTCATTTTACCCCTTGGGTCTAAACAGCCAGCAGACTTTTAAAATTGTTAGGCTGGTCTTTTGCCCCAGTTCAGCTATGGGTTGCTTTTTAGAGTTCCCTTCTGTTGGCAGTCTTGCAGATCCCCTTCCACATTCGCGGATCACGCCAGCCCCAATAGATGTGGATTTTTCTGGGTGGAGACTTCCCCAAATCCTCTAGCTCCCGCATGCATATTTCCTTCTCCTCACCTGATCCCAGGCAAAATCTGACCTTTCTGTGAGGGGGTATGGTGCTCTTCCGAATCCTCGTGCTCACTCCACTCGGGACCTTTCTGTGAGGGGGTGTAGAGCTCCACTGAATCGATACTCACACCACTTGGCACCAGTGTTCCCTGGTTCACAGCTGTTCGCTGGTTACAGTTGTATGTTCATGTCTCCTTTGTCAAATATTAATTGAGCTTAGTGTTTGGGTTGATATCTGGGTTCTCTATTCTATTCCATTGGTCTATATGTGCAATTGTATATTCCCGGGAATTTCAGGCTTCTGTCAATATCCATTCACCCCTTCAAGATGGGGTGCCTTCATGACAGAGCCGTTTGTGGCTGCCCGGTCAGGGGAACCCTGTCCAGAGATCCCCCACAGTCCCCTGGAGTATAGCTATTCCCTCAACTCACAAACAAAAACTCCCCATGGGTCCACACCCTGTCCCTTCATTGTCTCACTCACACACTATCTTACAGCCTGCCTTCCCGTCGGCAGCCATTTTCCTTCATCAGAAAATCGTTCTTTTCTTAACTCACTGAAAGCCTGTTGAATGTCTTCACCTTCTGCTGATATCTGGTGATTCCTAAGGCTTGGGGCCACTCTATCCTCACCTCCTTGGTCAGATAGGTGAGCATTGTTCTTAGGTTCCCCTTGGCCTGCTCATAGTTCGTCCTGCTCAGGATCTTGTTCTTGCTTCTATCAAGGTCTATGTTTCTTCTAATTGAGCTGATGTTTGTTTCCTGAGAGTGTGAGTGATTTTGAACCCAATACAGAGAAGGACTAATGTCTGAGGAGGGAGATATCCCAAACTCAACTCCCCAGATGACTTTCTAACACAAAAGGCTGGTGGAGCCCATGTGGCCTCTCTTGCCGCAGCCTGAGCCTTGAGGCCAGCAATGAGTAACAGGCTGCAGGGGCCTAAGGCTCCTGAGTGACCAGCAGTCAGCGGACTCTGAGCACACGGTGGGGACACTGGGCTGGATGTGAGGGTGGAGCTGGCTCTGCCCAGTGAGAGATGGGGCCAGGTGTTCTATAGACACCCTGCCACCCTGTCCTTTAGTGCCCTGCAAGGGGCCAGCACAGGTCTGGTTCCCTGGTCACCCTGTGCCAGGGCATAAGGTGGGTGGAAACTCTATGAACAGGACCTGTTGGAACCTAAGCACTCTGGGTGTCCTAGGTAGGAGGGATATAAGGGATCTAGAAGCTCAAACCAGTGTGGTCTATAAGGCGCAGGGGTTGGTGGACTCTGAGGATGCTCAGTGGTCAGCAGGGATGAGAAGAAGGTGCAGCCAGGAGACTGGAGGCCAAGCTAGGCCATGAGCTCAGAGGAGGGCAATTAAGGGCAGGGAGAGAAATTCAGCCCAGGAGGGAATGAGGAGCTTCTCAGGGCTTCCCTCCCTCCTCCCTCCCCATCACTCCTCACCATCCCCCAGGCCCCCAAAACCTGCCACTCCCTGGCTGTGGGAGAACAATGTCCTGCTCAGGAAGGCCCTCCTCTCCCCAGTGTAGTGGGGCCTCCTGAGCTTTAGCCCAGGCTGTGCCTGCTTGGTACCCAGCACCCAAAGTGCTAGTCCTTTCCTCTCAGCATGTAACACAGAGGAAGAAGTAAGATCTTCACACTGAGCCCAGGACCTGAGAGATTCATGTTTTCTCCTACTGGTACTCCTCTGTGCCCTGGAAGAGTGAAGAGCCTGCAGGTGCAGATGTGGCCAAGAAGGAGCTGATAACAGCTTTGCATGGGGTTTGGTGGTGGTGGTTGGGTGTAGGTGGGGGGAGGGGGAAGGAGAGGAAGAGAAGGAAGTGGAACAGAGAATTGTGCTATTGGCCTTCTGAGCACAGAGCTGGAGCCTGTGAATGAGGGTCAAAGAGTAAACAACAATCCAGCTCTTCCCATCAGCTGAGAGACATTTATTCAGTTGCTGGCACCACCTCCCTCACCACAGTGTTATCTTGGATTAGCTCCAGAGAAGATGTTCTGGGTCCTGCAGTTGGAGGCTTTTCATGGTTTCTCTTATCCAAGGAAGGAAACTGGCGACTTTGGTGAAGACTCTCGGTGGTTTCCCATACTTGTTTCCATAGGAGACAATGCCATGGATCTTATTTTTACACAGGAGTGGTCCCCCAGAGTCCCCCTGTAGACAAAGAGAGGGAAGAACTGAGCCAGTTCTCCTGGCCCTGCCCTCGACCCCTCACCCCCAAGCTCCTCTCAGAGAAAGCTGCTTAGCATGTTTCCACCTTGGAGATAAGTGGACAGGCAGGTTACTGTGATCCCCTCAGCCTAGACATTGTCACTGCTTCACTTTATCTCAGGTGGTGGCTCCCTCTGCTCTTCCAGATCTCTGATTTTCTGGCTATGAAGGTGCTGTGGGCTATGACTGCAATCTACTCTCTAAGGACCCAAGGGCAAGCAGGTGGGCCTGACACTTAGCATGGAGAAGGAGCCACCAGGTATAACTTCTGCACACCCAGGGAATAGTTATCTAACTGCCGTGTCCCAGCGTGGGCCAGTATTGCAAATTCACCATCTGGAGGAGCACCATGTTTAGAGTGACCATAGGCCCTTGTAGCCTCTAAGAGAGCCTATTCCTCCCAGCTCTGGCAGCTCCCAAGTTTTCCTCTTGGGGAGAAAGATCACAGCCTAGAGGGTGAAGTATTCCCCTCCTTTCTCAGGTCCCATTCTGTATCCAAACATCCCTGTTCCCATAGACAAGGTAGGCAGATATTCAGTATTACCTTAAAGGAAGCCTTATTTTCTTTTGGGTTTCCCACACACAGTTGAATGGTACTGTTGTAATTTTTATATTGCCTTTCACACTCGTAATCTTCCTGCATGGTCAGCTCTACCTCCTGCAGAGTGTCTGAGCAAGGACCCCCACTGGTGACCCGCCCCCAGCCGGCCACAATGCAGTTATCTCCTGGACTTGGCAGGTCCTTGCCCCTGGGCAGCAGGAGGGGCTTCACAGCCTCAGTTTGCTTGATGTTTTTCTCCAGCTGATGGGGAAGAGACAAAGGAGCAGGTCAGCCAGTGCATCAGGGCCTGGAGATCATGATGGGACACCTGAGTTCCTGGGACTAATCAGGTGATTGGAATGAGAGAAATGGAAGGGACAGGTCACAGTCAGAAAAGAAACAATGAGATCTCAGAACTGTAAGAGCAGCAGGAGGTTTCCTACCTGCAGTAACATGATGTCATTGGAGATTTTATTCTCATTATAGTCTGGGTGGAGGATGGCTCTTCTCACTGGGATTTCCTGCCAAGTCTTCTCCTTCTCCTTGATGTTGTGGGCCCCCAGGGTTACATTGATTGATCTGCACAGAGAACAGAGTGGGTTAGTTTGGTGGGGATGGAGTGGGGAGGTAGAGTCATAGGAGATGAATCCTAAGGATTATGAATGGCAGATGATAGCTGGTGCAGGGCATAGGGGCCAGGGATTTGGTGATTTTGCTTCTCAACAATACTGAGGTCAGGAATAGGGTGCTCTCTATTGCCCTCAGGAAATGTCATGAAATTACTTGCATTTGCATTTTGACCCTAATGCATGTGTTCATCATCTACAGCTGCTTTTTTTTGGCCAGTGTTTGTTTTCTTCTCAATTGTGTTCCTTGTTTTCACCTCTGATCCTCTGAGCCCAAAGGTTACCTGTCCTATTTCTCAGGCTCTCATTGCTCTGACATGATCTCAGAGGGTTCCTCTGATGAGGCCTCATGGGCATAGGTTACCAAGAGCCTGAAGATCTGCCTTGAACTCCAGCTCCTGGGATGAAGGACAGGATTCCTGTAGGGGTCTTAGAAGGTATAGCCTGGCTGCAGCCCCTCACCTTCTATGACAGTGAGCAGCTGTCAGAACAAAGTTGTTTTTCACAAGGACACCGCCACACCAGCATGACTTCTCATTTTTAATGCTAAGGTAGGCCATGTAGGGTCGGAAGTGGGGTTTGGATTCATGTCCCCCGATGATCTCACCTGTAGGAAAATCCTTTTGTACTTTTGTGGAGCCCTCCCTCCCCCCTGCCTGCTCACCACCCAATGAGTACACCAGGCTGGCATTGACTTGATGACACATGTGGCTGGGCCCTTGGGAGCCTAGGGTGGCATAGAGCTGTGAGTAGGTAGTGACGGGCTTCAACTTTCTCTTCTGGAAAAGGAATCAACAATAGGCTGGGTCTGTGACTTGGCCTGCCACATCGTTGGTAAGAATACAGGTCTTAGGAATAGGAAAGGCCTGGAGGCTCCTGAAAATTCCTCTCCTGACTTCGCTTGGTGTTGGGTGAGCTTCTGAGGCCCCGGTGATGCTATGATGTCCAGGGCAGTGCACTTTGCAGTATTCAGGATTTAAATTTATGGATCTAGATGCTGACCCATGAGGAGTTCCCACTGTTTGTTAACTGCTTGGAAGGACTGGCTCTGAATGGGCCTCTGGAGGAGGTTTGGTAAGGCCAATGCTGTGGGATTCTGGAAAACAGAAAAGTTTGGGGCTGCCATCCTCATTCATCCTTTCAAGAGAGGAACTGCCAAAGGCCTGGGAAGAAAAGCCCAGCTGAAGAAAGGGACTCAGATGGAGCAGAGGAAGCAGCAGTCTTATGGGGGTGGTGACTCCACCAACTGTGGGGTGCTGAGCTCTGGGCTTGTCTCCTAAGCAGACCCTGAGGAAAACACCTGTCTCATTACAGGCATAGAAGCCAGGACTGCTCTGCCCTCTGCAGTTTCCCAGTCTCTGCCATGCACTCCTAGGAAATTGCACTCTCCATGTGGCATAGGTAGGGCCTGGGAAGGGCGTTGTCCCCTTTGGCTTTTTTGAGAATAGGCTTCTGCCCTGTCTTTTCTGCCTGTGGCTCATCCAGCTCATGTGTGTGGGTCTGAGGTGGGATGGGAGCTGGGGTTCAGAGCATTCCTGGTGGAGAGCTGGATCAGGGATGTGCAGAAGGGCCAGCAGTTCTGTGCCCACTGTGGGATGTGTTGTGCCTGTGAGTGTGGGGATGGTCACTCACCTGCCTTCACGCTGGGGAGTAGGAAAAAGGCCAGCAGGAGCATGAGCAGAGGTGGCTGCATTTTCCCAGAAAGGCTGCTCAGGTCGGAGCTGCTGGTGTTTCTCTGTGCTCTCTGTTATCACCCAGAAGAGGAAGGAGGTGTGGGTGGGCTCTGCTACCTGAGTCCCACTCTGGTTTTGCCGTGCTTCATCCTAGAAGGGTTTTTATTAAACATCTCCACCCACACACCTCCTGCCTGATGTTCTCTGTGTGGTTGTGGGAGAAGTATGTTGCGACCACATTAGTATCCACAGCTGGTGACTTAGAGAAGACAGCAGAGCAGACTCCAGCCCTCAGCAGGAACCCAAGGGGGGAGGTGGAAACTATAGGATGTGGTGTTTACCAGCAGAGGTACTCGAGCCCAGAAACCTAAGTCCCTAGTGAGAGAACCCCCAGTACCTCATCTCAATGCAACTAAGTTCATCAGGGTAATTTCTTTTGCTTGTGTCTGTTTAGGTCCTTCTCTGTCCAATAGCCAACCATAGTGGAGATTTGTCTCCTTTCTTTATAGCAGCGATTTTCAACCTTTTTCATCTTGTAGCGCATAAACTAATTACTAAAATCCTGTGGCACACTAAATATATATATATATATATATATATATATATATATATATATATATATATATATTTACAGATCTCACAAAAAATAGTTATACTTTTGATTGACTTATAAAAAGTAATTAAGTACCCTTTTGCTCCAAAATATATCAGGTGCCTATCCTTGTATATAAGAATTTCTGGTACCAAAAATTAACTAATTACACACAACCACATTATACAATGTGGCCAATAATATAATATAAAATAAAAATACAACTCTATTTTATGACCCATATGTTTATAGGGCAAGACATAGCATTCATACAAGATAAGTTTTGTGTTGGCTGTTGTCATTTAAAAAAAAAATATATATATATATTGATTTCAGAGAGGAAGAAAAAGGGAGAGAGAAATGAAACATTAACAAAGAAAGAATCTTTGATCAGCTGCCTCTTGCAGGTCCCACACTAGGGATTCAACTTGCAATCTGGGCATGTGCCAAGACCAGGAATCTAGCCATGACCTTCTGGTTCATAGGTCAGCACTCAATCACTGAACCATGCCAGTTAGGCTGTGAGTATATTTTTATTTGCTGACCTAAGGAAAAATAGGTTAGTGACCATGACTAAGTAGTCTGGTATTGATGTTTTAAAGGTTCTTGTGGGACACTGTTTCACAATCGCTGCTTTAGAAAGAGCTGACCATCTGATGGGAGAGACAGAAACATCAGAGACCAGAGTACTGAGTGGGAAGGGCCATGGTAGAGTGATGCACAGGGGAGGAACAGAGCATCACCACCATCTACCAAACTGACATAGCAACCAATTCATCATCACAGTTTCTTCCTGAGGGCTTTTAGTTACAAATGCTCAGTGATAGAATCCATCTGTCTTGTCAACATTTCTTTTTTTTTTTTTTTTTTTTTTTTTTAATAAGTTTTTATTGTTCATATTATTACAACTGTTCCTTCCCCCCCACCATTGCTCTCCTCCACCAGATTCCCACCCCACCCTCTGCCCTTTCCCCACTCCCCATTGTCCTCATCCATAGGTGCACAGTTTATGTTCAGTCTCTTCCCACACCCCCTCTCCCCTTTTCCCCAAGAATCGTCAGTTCACTCCCCTTCCATACCTCTGATTCTATTATATTCAACAGTTACTATTGTTCATCAGATTTTTTTTTTTAATTTCCTTGGTTTTTAGATTCACTTGTTGATAGTTACGTATTTGTTGTTCATAATTTTTATCTTTGTTTACTTTCTCTTCTGAAAGAACTCCCTTCAGCAACTCATATAAGTCTGGTTTGGTGTTGATGAACTCCTTTAGCTTTTTTTTATTAGTGAAGATCTTTATCTGACCTTCGATTCTGAGTGATAGCTTTGCTGGATAGATTATCTTTGGCTGTAGGTTCTTACTATTCATCACCTTGAATATTTCTTGCCATTCCCGTCTGGCCTGCATGGTTTCTGTTGAGAAGTCAGCTGACAATCGTATAGGTGCTCCTTTATAGGTAACTACCTTCTTTGCTCTTGCTTCTTTTAATATTCTCTCTTTGTCTTTTGCTCTTGGAATTTTAATTATGATTTGTCTTGGTGTGGTCCTCTTTGGATTCCTTTTGTTTGGAGTTCTGTGCGCTTCCTGTACTTGTAAGTCTAATTCTTTCCCCAGGTGGGGGAAGTTTTCTGTCACTATTTCTTTCAGTATGTTTTCGATATCTTGCTCTCTCTCATCTTCTGGGACCCCCATAATTCTGATGTTGGTTCGCTTGAAGTTGTCCCAGAGGTTTCTTACATTATCTTCAATTTTCTGGATTCTCTTGCCTTCTAGCTTCTGTGGAGGAGTGTCTTCTGGCTCTTTATGTTCCAAATCTTTGACTTGATTCTTGCGATCTTCCCTTCTGTTTTTAGGACTCTGTAAAATATTTTTTATTTCAGACAATGTATTCTTTATTTCTTGTTGTTCCCTTATCATTTCTTGATGACTCCTTATTAATTCTAGTTGATTTCTTTTCATGTCCTCATAGGTCTTATCCATCTTTTCTAGGAAATTCTTGAAAAACCTTATAAGTGTAGATTTGAACTCTATATCCAGACGCTTTTTGTCCTCCATTTCTTTCGTTTGTGATCTATTTGGTTTAGGCATTTTCGCAGGCAGCTTTCCTGATGGGGTGGGGTTTCAGGGAGGAGCCTACAGCTTTGGCTTCCGTCAGCCCCGCCCTATGCGACTCCTGAGACTCAGGGTCCTTCAGTACTTGTTGTAAGCGCCTCTGAGAGAAAGGCGCCTTCGATTTTCGCCTGCTGCCAAACAGTCAATGCTCTCCCCCAATGAGCCCGGTATTGGGGTTCAGTTCAGTTGGAAGTGGAGTTGGAGGTGGCGTTCAGAGCAGACTGGAACCCCTGTCTCCTTCCCGCCAGGCAATCCTGCGGCACAGCCGACCGTCCCTTCTCTGCGCGCATTGGGCGCCACCGCCGGGACCTCCTTTCGCAGCTTCCCCGGGTTCCGCCTCGCAGCCCAGCTCCCTCTGGCTGAGCCTGAGTCCCCGGGGTCTGGCCTAGGCCTGGGGTTCAGAGCAGTCGGGGGCCCAGCACAGTCGGAGTTTTATCTCCTTCCCGCTAGGGAACGCCCGCCAGGCACTCCGCCTCCCTCCTCTCCAGCTCTGTCCTCTCCGCGCGCCGCGTGTCTCCGTACCTTGGGCTTTTCCAGCTCCTCTGCGCTTCCTTCTGGTTTTCTCCTTGCTTCTCGTTGTAGAATTTCCAGTCAGTCAACTTTCCTGTAGTTCTGGGTGATGTCCATTTTATATTTTTGTTGTATTTTATTGAAATTGTTGTGTGAGGCTGCAGCTAGGTATTCACCTGGGCGCAGCCATCTTGGAGGACCTCCCAGGATCCTGTCTTGTCAACATTTCTAAGGAAAATACTGTCCTTGACATGCATTGGCCTAGAGTAAGGAATCACTGTGGCCCTTGTAGTTGAACCCACTGATTGGCTTATCCTAGGTCATCCTTACTTTGGGTTCAGTCCCACCCAAACCACCTGAACTAGGACTGGAAAGAGCATTTTCCCCAAAGGAAGTTCAGGTTACTAAATTGTTGGTATTGAGTGAAATGAGAAAGCGTGTTTTCCAACCAAAGACCAATAATTATCCTTTCAGAATCCTCTGGGCTCTGTGCAGAGCCACACTTCTGCTAGAGCAGGCTTGGCACGTTATAGGCTCACACCTGCTAAGCAAACTATGCTGATGAGCTCACTACTCTGTGAAGGACTGTTGCTTCTAAATGGTCTTTGCCCAATTCTGTTCAAAGAATGACTAAGCTTCTTTGAGTGGTTGGTCTTTTAATTTAAATGTCCGCCTTTACATTTTCTGTTTTTTATATTTTTTTCTATGAGAAGTATTATGTTTCAATATACATAATTTCAGTGTAAACATCTTCCCTGTCATACCACCTACACTCCAAACCTCTCCTTGTTTAAGTCAGCCTCCCTCGTAGGAAACCTTTACAAAATAAAGAACCTTTCTGATGACAGTGGTAAATATGCTCATTAAGAAAGTTGGCCTTTTGTCCTGCAGAGAGCGCAGGTGTCTGTTAAGGCAGCTTTGGCAGCAGCCTCTGGTCATGCCCTTGTTTCTTCTATTGTTCAGCTCCCATTCTAGCTTTTTCTGGTGAGACAGAAGGGTCTCAGGTTTGATTCCTTTCTACTGTTTCAGACCTTAGGTGAAAACCTGAAGCTGCTGTTCTAAAAAACTGTTAATCAGCAAAAATACAGGGGCTACAAGATCATCATTTTATGCTGTGACCTTTTGGGATTCATGCAAAGACAATTCTGTGTAGATGTACAGTTGACTCTAATTTGAAAATCTGAAAATCAGTCCATTCTTGCTATAATCATTTTTTTTTTACAATTATAATTTTACTAGGAGCCCTGTACCCAAAATGCACTGTGTTTGTGTGTGGGTGGTTCCCTCAGCCCAATCTATCCCCTCTCACACATTGGGAGCCCAAGGGGAGCAGGCCTAATCTGTAGTTTGGCCTCCCTCTGCGGGAGGTGACTGGGCTGATCAGGTGAAGGTGCCATCCCCATCACCCCACTGCTGCAGTCACTGCCAGTCACTGCAGGCACCAAGGTGTTTTCATCAACACGGATTTTAGTCCCTTCACCATGAAAAAATGACAGCTTTCTTAAGGAATTTTCAAGATGCGTCTTTCATACTATATGACATTTCTTCCTCCCTCCCTCCCTCCCTCCCTCCCTCCCTCCCTCCCTCCCTCCCTCCCTCCCTCCTTCCTTCCTTCCTTCCTTCCTTCCTTCCTTCCTTCCTTCCTTCCTTCCTTCCTTCCTTCCTTCCTTCCTTCCTTCCTTCCTTCCTTCCTTCCTTCCTTCCTTCCCCTAACCTTAGGCTATGTTTCCATTGATTTTTAGAGAGTGTGGAAGAGAGAGGGAGAGATAGAGAGAAACATCAATGTGAGAGGGATACTTTGATTG